CAGTGACACCCTGGGGACACCCTGGGGACATCGGGACCCTCCCCCAGTGACACAGTGACCTTGGGGCCACCCTGCGGACACCCTGAGGACACCAGGACACCCTCCCCTAAGGACACAGTGACACCTTGGGGACACCCTGGGGACACTGGGACCCTCCCCAGTGACATCCTGGGGACATTGGGCTCCCCCCCCCCCCGCAGTGACACAGTGACATCTTGGGGACATTGGGACACTCCCGAAGGACACTGGGACCCCTTGGGGACAGCAGTGGTGGCCCGGGCTGGGGAGGGGGTGACACCTGAGGTGTCCCCAGGATGTCCCCAAGAGGGGACCGCGGGGTGTCCCCACCTGGGCGGGGTCTCCGTGGTGCTGTCGGGCTCCTCGGCCTCCTCATCCTCGCTGTCCTTGTCCTCCTGTGGGGACAGTGTCACCTCCTGTCAGCCCCCAGCTGTCACCTCAGCCCCTCCGGACACCGGGGGACACTTGGGGACACTCCAGAGACAGCCAGGAATTCCAGGGGACACCTGGGGACATTCTGGGGACATCCTGGGGGCTCCAGGACACACCCCCAGCACCAAGGGACACTCAGGGACACCTCTGGACACCCCGGGGACTCTTGGGGACACCAGGGGACACCCTGGGGACACTCGAGGACACGAGTCCCCTGCATGCCCCCATGTCCCCCTGAGCCCTCTGTCCCCTGTCCTGTCCCCACTGTGTCCTGTGTCCCCTCCCTGGTCACCTGCAGGAACTCCTGGAAGGAGCACACCTGGTACTGGGTATACTGGGAGACACTGGTGTGGGGTCCCTGCTGTGTCACCTGTCCCTCGGGTGTGACCCCATGTCCTGTGGGTGTCCCCCACTGTGTCCCCACCATGTCCCTGTCCCCGTCCCTCACCTGCAGGGACTCCTGGAAGGAGCACACCTGGTACTGGGTATACTGGGAGACACTGGTGTGGGGTCCCTGCTGTGTCACCTGTCCCTCGGGTGTGACCCCATGTCCTGTGGGTGTCCCCCACTGTGTCCCCACCATGTCCCTGTCCCCGTCCCTCACCTGCAGGGACTCCTGGAAGGAGGATGCCTGGTACTGGGCGTACTTGGCGATGGTGGTGTGGGAGCGGCTGCTCTCGCAGGGCCACACCTGCCGCGTCCCCGACAGGTCCCAGTTCTGGTCCGAGGGTTGCTGCACCTGCGTGCGCACCTCGACCGCGTGCTCGCCGCTGGCCTCCACCAGGGTCTTGGTGCTGAACAGCCCCAGGTCTGCCAAAAACGGGCGGGTTTGGGTCATTCTGGGGGTCACCAGGGGCATGGGGGGGTGTCATGGGGACAGGGACAGCCCCAGACGATGGTGATGAGGGGATCCATGGGGGATTTAGGATCCCCGAAGGAGTGTCCCAGGATTTTGGGGTTCCTGTTGGATTTTGGGGTTCCTGAGGGATTTTGGGGTTCCTGTGGGATTTTTGGGGTGTTTTGGGGTGACTCACTGAGGTGCAGGGACCCCGCCAGCCCCCGGATGACGATGATGGGGGGATCCATGGGGGCAGGTTTGGGGGTCCCTTTGGGATTTTGGGGTCCCTGAGGGATTTTGGGGTGTTTCTAGGGTGTTTTTGGGGTGACTCACTGAGGCGCAGGGACCCCACAAGCCCCCAGATGACGGTGATGGGGAGGATCCATGGGGGCAGGTTTGGGGGTCCCTGTGGGATTTTGGGGTCCCTGAGGGATTTTGGGGTGTTTTTGGGGTGATTTTGGGGTGTTTTTGGGGTGACTCACTGAGGCGCAGGGACCCCGCCAGCCCCCGGATGACAGTGATGGGGTTCTTGGGGTCGGTGCAGAACTGCAGCAGGACGGGCGAGAAGGCGTCGCGCTTGCTCTCCAGCTGGGCGGGAACAGCGGCGGCCAATCAGCGACCGGCACCCGACAAAGGGACCAATCACAGCCCACCGCCCTCAGGAAGGAGCCAATCAGCACCCGGCACCCGGGGGAAGGACCAATCACAGCACAGTGCCCTCATGAAGGGGCCAATCGGGGCCCAGCACTTTCATGCAGGGACCAATCACAGCCTGCCACCTCCCCCACAACAACCATGCCAGCAGCCAATCAGGATGGAGGGTGCCTGGTTCACCATTCACCAGCCAATCAGGGCTGAGATGGTTAGGCTCGCCAGCCAATCAGGATTGAAAAGCCATAGCCTGGCAGCCAATCAACAAAGAGCTGCCCATGATGAACCAATCAGGAGGGGAGGGATCCAGTCAGGGGCCAATCAGCAGAGAGATGGAATCTGCCAGGGAACCAATCAGCAGCAAGGATCCCCAGGGCCTTTCCCACCAGCCAATCAGGAGAGGGGACACCCTGGGATCCCTGGCAGGGAGCCAATCAGCAATCAAGTGACCCATCCAAGGAGCCAATCAGGAGGCAGGGGACCCATCCAGGGAGCCAATGAGCAGCCAGGGGAGGCGAGCAGCAGCCAATGAGGACTCACGTAGATGCTGGGCGTGGGGGGGTTGAGTTTGTCCCTCGGGAGCTGCTCCCGAGCGTCGATTCGGGGCTTGACGGACTGGGCGGGGCACAGGTAGGACTCACGGAACGGCCCCTTCAGCCGCGCCTGCCTGCGGGGGGACCCCAAAAAATCAGTGGGACCCTGAAAATCCCCATCCTGGAATCACCCAAATCCTCCTGGAATGACCCAAATCCCCCTGGAATGACCCAAATCCCCCGGAATCATCCAAATTCTGCTCAGGCACCCCCAAAAATCCCCTGGGATCCCCCAGAACGAGTCCCCAGTCTCCCCTCTGAAGCTCCAAATGAGCACCCTGGACCCTTAAAATCCCCCTGGGACTTAGTTCTAAGTCTAAGGCTTTTCTTTTCTCTTTGGGATCCCCCAAACGAGCCCTAATACTCCCCCTGGGCCCCCCAAAGTCCATTTGAGCCCCCCTAAACGAGCTCCATGACCCCCCGGGCCCCCCAAACCCCTCCTGGGCCCCTCAAACCCCACCTGAGACCCCATAAATGAGCCCCATGACCCCCCTGGGCCCCCTGAAATCCCACCTGGGCCCTCAAACCCCCACCTGAGACCCCATAACTGAACCCCAAGCCCCACCTGAGCCCCCCCCAGACCCCTCCCCAAGTCCCTCCCCCCCACACTCACTTGCTGGCTCGCACCACCTCGGCCGCGCTGTGCCGGATCGTCAGCTGTGCCAGGGGCAACCCCCGGGGCTCCCCGACGTCCGAGGCCACCAAAGCGTCACCGGCGGTGCCGCCCCCGGGGCCCCCCCCGAGCCCGGGGATCCCCCCGGCCCCCCCAGCACCGCTCTCCACCTTGATCAGCCGAATTTTGAGCTCCTTGGGGGGCCCCTCCCCGAGCGAGCGCAGCTTCAGGAGATCGGCGGAGCTGACGAACGCGGGAGGGGGTCCCGGCGGTGCTGGTGCTGGTGGGGGGGCTGAGGGAGGGTTTGGGGGTCCCCCCCCTTTCGTTTCCAGCTTGGGAGGGGGTCCCCCTTTATCCTGCACGCCGGAGCTCTGCAGGTCGAGCGTGGCCAGCACCGGCCGGTCCCGTTGTTCCCGGTCCCGTTGTTGTTGTTGTTGCTGCTGTTGTTGTTGTTGTTGTTCCCGCTCCTCTTTCCGGGGGTGGCGGCGCCGGAGGGGTCCCCGGCGGAGGTCGCGGTGACGCGAGGGGGGGACACGGCGGTGACGGCGACCACCACCCCCTAATTTTGGGGGGGTATCCGGGGATGGGGGGCTGGGCCGGCCGGCTTGCTCGGCCAACGTTTCACAAGCCCGGCTGATCTCCTCCAGAGCCTCGGACTCGCTGCGGGCCGGGGGAGGGGGATGGGACCCCCAGCCGGGGGGTGAGGTAGCGAGTTGGGGGGGCGTGGGGGGGCTCGGGGATGTGCCCCCAACTCCGGAAGGTTTTTCTGCAGCAGCAGCAGGAGGAGGAGGAGGAGGGGGAGGAGGAGGAGCGGGAGGTTTGCTGTAAAACGGGGAAGTTTTGGGGTCGTCCCGTTTGCCGAAGGGGTAAAGGCGAGGGGGGTCCGGGGGGTCTCCGTGGCCTGGGGGGGCCCCGAAAGGAGGGGCTTTGGGGCGGGCGAGGAGGG